TGTCATAATTTCATTCATTCAAGAAGCCTTTTCCATCCTGCTTCCCTGACTATTTTTGTTCGTTGCTATGGTTGAAAATGATTGTCGTTTTGAACCCATTAACTATTACAAAACAACTGAATAAACAACAAATGGAATTCTAACCGTATATACCCAACTGTCACTTCACTGCAGTGATGAAAAATCTTGCCAGACAGGTCTGTGCTGTGTGCCTGAGCTGTGTAAATCTCAAAACTGGAGGGGCCTAAACAAAAATAAGACTCCTGCTCTTTTGCTCACCCTGGTGCCTCGCATTCAAATACCTCATGTTCCCAATAAACAGATAATGCAGATTTACCTTTTTATTGGGGCTGAACAGAAGTATTTTGCAGATTTACCTTTTTATTGGGGCTGAACAGAAGTATTTTGCCTATGTACACGAAAAGAACCCAGAAACGCTAAGCTGTTTAAGGCCTGGTTCACACCTGGGAGATTTTGAGCAGTTTGAAAAGCGCTTTTAAATGCCCAACACAAGACATCCCATGATTTTCAATGGCCCTGGTTCACACCTGAGCAGAAAAGCGCCAGCAGGAAAACACCTAAAAAGATACAGGAGCTTCTTTGGGCAGTTAAAAGCTTTTTTTTGCCCCATAGACTACATTGGAAATGCCTAAAAACACGCTGCAGAAACATGTTGCACATTTTTGTGAGCGTTTTTATGCGTATTATGAGCTGCCAGTCAAGAGGTGCGTCTTCATGTATGCTCGTTCAAACATGCATAAAAATGTGCAAAGCGCGCAATTAATTGAATGCTGCTAATGCGCGTAGAAACACGCAAAAACGGTGCCGCCGAGGTGTGAATCATGCCTTAGAGAAATTACTGGTCTAGGATCCCACAGTAGCTAGCCACGTGGTCAAATACTTATGAGGCCAAGGGAGCACTGCGAAAGGACTGAAATTGGCCAATCGTCCTCTTCAGCAAAGATCATGTGACTTCATGTCTAGGTATTTAATAATGTGACTCATAGCAGGGTCTAAGTATTTATTCCAAGTACTGCTTTTCATTGGGTTGCTTGGTCACTTTGGGTCCACGTAAATTACATTTTATTGTGCACACAGAGGTGGGTTTGTAGGAGACGCAAAGAAAGCTGCTTGTGTTCCCCGTTCAGTCATTTTCTTCATCAAGGTCACCAATAGGTCATGTAGCTGCAGTGGCTTGTTTACCTGTAATGCGTTCTCCAGACCTCTTGCTGCTGCCTGCATTCTGTTGATTAAATAATATTCCAAGCACGTTCAGCGATTGAGTCATTTCCGTTCCAAGGAGCTCAAATATGGATTATTGTAAAGTTAATTCCTTTCACTAAGGCTGCTCGAATGAGTTCAACTCGATTATGGAACTCTGCTACCAGCTAGAAATCTCATAAAGGCTCCACAACAAAAAGAACGCTGACAACGTTTTTCTGTGCCGCTCTCATAATTGGTCATTGCTTACTGAAATCTGCTGAGTACGATTAGAGTCAAATATTTTCCCTGCTCTTTATACAGTTTGTCACATAATCCTAATGTGAAAGTAACCTCCAATAGGGGGAACATTTCTTCAGTACCCCGGACTGGTACATTGAGCTGAGATCTTACTCCTGCTTTCTGTATACCATAAAGAATTATCATTTATGTCCATCGAGAACCCGTCCCCACGTTCTCAAGAGGGATTTCTAACTCACACGGTGTTGGTTTCAAACAAGATAAATGTTCCTTCTTATGTTCTTAGGGAAATTAAAGAGCAAATCCAGGCAACAAGTGGAAGCAGACAGTGAGCTACAGTATTAATGTTTAAAGTGCGATTAAAGTGTCCTGCTAAAAAATTGCTGACGGGCAGGTTTTTTTGTAGCAGAAGAGACTGTGCAAGTTTCTTCTGCCAAAAATCTTCTACCTGCCTGTCAGCAATTTTTTCTTTTTTTCTGTGCGCTGAGCCACACATGCACAGAAAGTGAGTGAGGGGTGGTATGTTTTCGCTCACTTCCCGATCAATAGAGGCGATGTGTGATCGCTTCAGTGTCGCACGTTGGTTCTAACTATGGGGATGAGTGTAATTCGCTCACCCCATAGTTCTCCTTTAAATCTTAAACAAGCATTCAAGCACCTTAAGGCTGGGTTCACACCTAGGCGTACGGAATATGCGCGTTTGCCGCGTGTTTTTACAGCGATTTGCGGTAAAAGAAACGCGTGATAAACGAGGGCTATTCGCCTGTATCCTAATGGATGCGCGCGGCAAATACGCCCCAAAGAAACTCCTGTACTTCTTTGGGCGTAGGGCGTTTTGCAGCGTGTTCCTACGCGCTGTAAAACGCCCAGGTGGGAACCATGCCCATAGGCAATCATTGGTTTTCACATGTTGAGCGTTTTACAGTGCGTAGGAACGCGGTGTGAAGCAGGTTTTAAGGGTTATTAAACCCTCATTTGTTTTTGCATATAACTACATAACTACTGCTAGCAATCAGTAGATATATGCAAAACAATTTTTAAAAAAACAACTTTTTCAGAGGACCATGTGGCAGGCGCATGTGCAGTTCAGATGTTCGGCCGCGAGACGAGACACAAGGTAAGTATATGGAGCAGCGTGCACCCGCACAGACACCGTGGGACATCAGAGAAGAGGAGGACAGAGGAGTCAGCGCTGGATCGGAGACCCGCACCAGCGCTGGAGGGACAGCTAAAAACTCCTGGAAAGAAGATGATGATCGGATTAAGAGGCATGATTTAAGGTAAGTCCTTACATTTACACTGTGGGGGGGAATTTTGGCCTTAATGTCACTTTAACTATAACCGATACTGGACTCTACTTGTGTATCACTCTGCTGTAGATCCCAAAATCATCAAATTTGTGCTGACTATCCTTTCTTCTGTAGACTGGCTACTTGTGTTCCCCATGGTCCCTGTGTGTGTGTTGTAAAGTAGTTACCGCTCCAAGCTCACTCTTGTGATGGACTACAACCTCAATACAAATTTGTAAACTAAACAAGAGATTGTAGTACATCATAGGAGTAAGCTTGGAGCAGTGACTACTTTACAACACACACTGGGACCATGGAGAACAAAAGTAGCCACCCTCCAAAAGGAAGGACAGTGTCAGCACCAATTCAGAGATGATTTGAGGATCTACAGCCGAGTGATACACAAATAAGATACATTTTTGTTAATAGTTAAGGTACTTGAATGCATTTCATTATTTAATTCCTGAGTTTAGTGTCACTTTAAGGCTCTGTGCACATCATACACACACTCTTTGTTTTACAAATAAACTTTTAATGAATGATAAAATAATTTCCAGGGCTTTTTGTTTTTTTTTAAAGAGACGGCACAACA